CCAAGCGTGGGCCTGCACGCTATAACAACGCCACTGCTTATTCTTCTCCACAGTGGAAATAAGGTGGTTGGGTTGTTTTCTATATATATATACAAACTGATAAAAGTTCTTCATTTGATTTATCTCCCCAGGCCAAAATAGACTGGTGGTTTGCCTTGAAGTTAAAAGGAAAAAACCACACACTGTCAAATCCTATATATTCCTTTTTATGTATTTTGTCATTTCCCCTCTATTAACTCTGTCCTAAGGTTTGGAAGACGAGTGCTCTCTGAGCTTCCATTTACATACACTACTTTAGCGTTGACTTTTTGGTTGCAGCCTATTAAATTTATTGACTGTAAGTCCCTTGAGCTACTGAGGAGCCCGTGTCTTGCCATTGTATATCTTTTGAAAGATGCTACCGGTAGCCAATTTGAATGTGTTTACTCACTCCTGTTTTATGTATCCAGTGCCTTAAATTGCATTCCCCCACGCACACATTTTCTGGTACGAAAAGACACCATTCTACATTTTAACTCTTGTTGCTTTCTTTATGGCCTACGTTCACAGCTCGACAGGATGAATCTCTGCAGAAGGCTTCAGCTCAAGCTGGTTGCATTCTCCAGGTAATGCAGAGATGGGGAACCTGTGGCCCTCCAGATGTGGCTGAACTCCAACTCCCATCAGCCCTAGACAGCATGACCAAAGGCCAGGGATGATGGGAGTTGTAGTCTAGCAACATCTGGAGGAGCACAGGTTCCTCAATCCTGATGCAATGTAGTTTTTGTTTTTGTTTATTGCAAGTTTTTGTTTATTGATCAATCTCTCTCTGTGTTGTCTTTGTAGTCCATGGAAGTGTATATCTGTAGGATGGCACTTGGCACTTCTTTCATGAAGACAGCCAGGGCCTCCCTCCACTAGCTAGGATGTCTATTATTATTATTATTATTATTATTATTATTATTATTATTATTTTATTTATAGTGCCCCAGTCACTCTGGGTGGCTTCCAACAAATATAAAAGCATAATAAATCTTCAACAATTAAAAACTACCCTATACAGGACTGCCTTTGGATGTCTTCGAAAAATCATATCCATAAATAAAAGGTATTTATTAAAAGTTTAATAGTTACAGAAAAAAGAAAAAAGGAACAATAAAAACTTCACAATACATCAAAAATAAAGAGAAAAAACAAAAAAACAACAACAGAACAACAAAAAAGCAAAAACATTTAAAAAACACATCCAATATCTCTATATCTCTACCTTCCATTTACTTGTGTCATCGACCTCCTCACACCTCCCTTTTTTGTATTCTTGTTCAATTAGCTATTTCAGCAAATCCTTTCCATCTTTCTTAATTTTTGTTCTATAATTTATCTTCACACAATCTAACCTTAAATTTCCACTTTAACCCATTAACAATCTATTTTTACTTAATTCTTTATAACATTTCTGCTAAGGCCATATAACTTCATTCCAGCATCCTTCTAACATTCATTAATTTTACAATATTTCTGTAAATAAACTTTAATTTTTTTCCAATCTTCTTCCACCGACTCTTCTCCCTGGTCTCGGATTCTGCCAGTCATTTCCGCCAACTCCATGTAGTCCATCAGCTTCATCTGCCATTTTTCCCTGGTAGGTAGATCTTGTGTCTTCCAGTGCTTTGCGATAAGTATTCTTGCTGCTGTTGTGGCATACATAAAAAAACCTCTATCCTTCTTTGGCACCAATTGGCCTACCATGCCCAGGAGAAAGGCCTCTGGTTTCTTTAGAAAGGTATATTTAAATACCTTTTTCATTTCATTATAGATCATCTCCCAGAATGCCTTAATCCTTGGGCACGTCCACCAAAGGTGAAAGAATGTACCTTCAGTTTCATTACATTTCCAACATTTATTATCTGGCAAATGATAAATTTTTGCAAACACATGACTGGTGTTATGTACCACCTGTAAATCATTTTCATTAAATTCTCTTTTAAGATATTACATGCTGTAAACTTCATACCAGTATTCCATAACTGTTCCCAGTCAGTCATCATAATATTATGTCCAACATCTTGTGCCCATTTAATCATAGCAGATTTCACCATTTCATCTTGGGTATTCCATTTCAACAGCAAGTAATACATTCTCGACAAATTCTTAACTTTAGGGTCTAGCAATTCTGTTTCCAGCTTTGATTTTTCCACCTGAAAACCTAGTTTTTTATCCAGATTATATGCCTCCATTATTTGATAATTATTTGAAAAATCATATCCAGTGGTACCTTGGTCCTTAAATGGCTTGGCTCCTGAACAAATCGATTGTCGAACGCCGCAAATCCGGAAGTAAGTGTTCCAGTTTGTGAATGTTTTTTGGAAGCTGAATGTCTGTTGTGGCTTCTGCTTGAGTGCAGGAAGCTCCTGCAGCCAAACGGAAGCCACCCCTTGGTTTTTGAATGGTTTTGGGAGTCGAACGCACTCCCGGAATGGATTAAGTTTGAGAACCAAGGTACCACTGTAGTTACTTATCTCCTTGACATCTGACGGGAGGTCATTCCACAGGGAGGGTGCCACTACCAAGAACACCCTCTGCCTGGTGGTTCCCTGTAACTTCACTTCTCGCAGTGAGGGAACTGCTAGAAGGCGCTAGGTGTCCAGGCTGAACGATGGGGATGGAGATGTTCCTTCAGGTATACAGGGCCAAGGCCGCTTAGGGCTATAAAGGTCAGCACCTTTAAATCGTGCTTGGAAACATACTGGGTGTTATATGTTAGGACTGGTATTATATGGTCCCAGCGACCACTCCCAGCCACCAGTCCAGCTACCGCATTCTGGATTAGTTGTAGTTTCTGAGTCACCTTCAAAGATAGCCCCACATAGAGTGCATTGCTATTGTCCAAGCAGGAGATAACCAGTACAGGTACCATACTGACAAGACAGTTCACAGGCAGGTAGGGGCCTATCTTTCTGTCCATGCAACTCTCATTAGTGTTTTGCCTGCTCTTAACAGCCATTTGTCCTGTTCAATCCTGAATGTTCAGGGTGGGTTAACAAAATTAAGAAGATAAAATATCCAATAAAAAATAGCTAAAACATAACAAGTGCTAAACCCTCTGATCCTCTGTCAGCTTAGCTTGAAAGCCAGCACAGATCACTTCAAAGCATCAAGTATCTACTCTGTTTTGTGGCTCTTTATGTTTAGAAATATTCATAAATGTTCAACCCAGTGGAATTTGGAATAGGGAAAGCACATATTATAAAGAAAGAGCCTGCTGGGAGTTGGCACCAATCAGCTTCAACCAGCTGTGACCTAAAAAGCATTGGGGCCCCTCATTGTGAGATGCAAGAAAAGGCATGTTTCCTATTTTGATGCTTTCCTTGGTCCATCCTCTTATGCATTTCAATGAAGCCAAGTGCTAATTGTTCCTCAGCCCCTACAGTGGCTTCCTTCAAATGCAGAAAAAGAACCACGCATTGCTTGGCACTGGAGAGAGAAGGCTCCATAAACATGTATCAGAAAAATAAACTAGGGCACAAAACCATGCTTGGTAAAGCCATTCTTAATCTTGAGTTCTGTGGGACTGACTAGAATGCATCCTCCTCACTAATCAATTCAGTATTGGATCTGTCAGAAACCAGATGTATGATAAGAATATAAGCTGTGGGATCAGACAAGAGGCCCACCTAGATCACCATCCTGTTCTCTTGATGGCCAACCAGATGCCTATGGAACATCTGAGTGCAAGACCTGAGTGCAGTATCCTCTTGTCTCTTATGCTCTGTAGCATCTGGTGTTAAGTTGTGGGTGTACATATCAGACGGCACAGCGATTCTTCAAACAGCTCTTGTTTATTCACAGGCGCAGAACTGAGCTGAAGGGTTCAGCCAACCTGCTTATATAGAGCTCAACTACAAAGCAACAGTAACAACTTTCTGTAACTATCCAATCACAGAATGTCACTTTCAATTCCTTATTTGCATACGCGGACCTGAGTGAAAACTATCTACAGTATCCCCCTGCTGGCCTAGGGTGAGAACTTCAGTACATAACATCTGGTCTTCAGAGTCATGCAACCTTGGACTCTGGAGGTAGTTGCAAAGTCATCACAGTCTGTAGCCTTTGATGGCCTTTTTCTCCACGAATTTCCCTAACCCCCTTTATTTTGTTTTGTTTTCAATTGAATTTTTATTAATTTTCCAAATTTTAACAAATCGATCCAAATTATTTAGATTTTATACATTTTTTAAAAAATATAGGTTTCCCACTCCTGTTGCAAACATATGTCCAGTTCCTTCTGTTGATTGCTGCATTCCTTCTTCTTTTCTTCACCTTCTCATCCTTCTGATAGTTTTAATCCGTTGTCATAGCTGGCCTTGATCATTTCCATACAGGCAGCACCCTTGTAATTTCCTAAACATGTAAAAATCCATTTCGCACGTGCCCCTTTCAAAGCCATCCAAGTCAGTGGCTGCCATGACATTTTGTGGTAGCAAATGCTGCAGTTTATGTGGCACTGGGTGATGGACTTCCTTTTGTCTGCCCTGAGTATCCCAGTTTTCAGATTCAATGGATGGCTCTGGGTTTTAGTATCATGAGGAAGGGAGAAAAGCTTCTCTGCATCCACAGACCATAAGACACACCTAGTTTTTGGAGGAGGAAAACAAGAAAAATAATATTCTGAATCTCAGAAGCCAGAACAACAAGAGGGATCGCTGTGCAGCGAAAGCAGCGATCCCTCTTGCTGTTCTGGCTTCTGGGATAGCTGCGCAGCCTGCATTCGCTCCATAAGACGCACACACATTTCCCCTTACTTTTTAGGAGGGAAAAAGTGAGTGTTATAGAGCAAAAAATACGGTGTACATATATATATATATATATATGGCCACTGATAACTCAGATTGACTTCAACAAGTGTCCATTGACTGTTGGCTACTTCAGATGGTATTTTCCATTTTTACATCTAAAATTTTCATAGAATCATAGAATTGTAGAGTGGGAAGGGATCCCAAGGGTCAACTGCAGGGATCCTTTACCCAACGTGGGGCTCAAACCCATGGCCTTGGGATTAAGAGTCTCATGCTCTACCAACTGAGCTAGGGTTTTGTAGGACACCAATTGAAGTGTATCCTTATGAAACTCTAACTCCACAGAGGAATGCATCTGGCTCAAGTCAGTGACAGTGGGTGGTATTCAGTTAACTTTTACTCGGAGTAGACCCACTGAAATTAATGAAGATGCCTAAGTGAAGCCCATTATTTTCAATAGGTCTACTCTGAGTGATACTTGGTTGAGCACCACCCGGTGTTCTTACTCTTGTGTTTCTCAGATGTCATTGACAGTCTTGATTAAGAATAATACATGCAATGATTTTTGTTTTGTTTTTGTAATAAAACATATTCGCCAGACACAGTTGACGGGGGTGGGGGTGGGAGCGGATATCACTAGACAACTTTCCCACATGGAATCTAAGTATATTTACAAACTGAAAACATTAGCTCCACAGGGTTCAAATTCATTCTTAGAGTTTGCAGGATTTATTTCAGCCTGTGGGCAGTTCCCTTCTTTACCTTTAAATATGCGAGCCCTGCCAACATTCCCCAAGGAAGGCTAACAAATAGAAGGCTGGAGAGCCTCTTTCTGTTCTTCCCTTGGGAAATATTAATATAGGGAAAAGTATGTTTTACAGATTTTCCATAAAAGTGATGGTGGTTGGTATCAGTTCTACAAGCCTTTTGCAATCACAATAATTTTGTCATTTTGTTCTACCTTTATAGATTTGTCCTGTTTTCTAAGATATTGCTTGTTTACTACTTAGACTTCATTGCTCAGGTAACATGTAATGTATATATTCTCACTGAAATGTAACAATTCCACACAGTAATAGATGTTGACTATATATCTCGTTTTATCTTATCAGATTGATGATTAAGCCCCTTTGTAGGAAGAAACGCTTAGTTTACCGGAAAAGGGTCTGGGTGTTGACGTATGAGTTGATGTTACTTCTATCAAATACACAAGTGATTATAAAGAAAAAGACTCCGTCCATATTTGTCTGCTTGTCTATACGCCTTGTCCTCGGTGATATATTTTTCTGTGACTTTGCATCATGGCCAATAAGCAGATATTGTGTGAGTTGTGGTCACTGTGACCACTTTGTGGCTCCTCTGGCTCGTGTCGTGGAACATAATTGCATTCATTTTCAGCTTGAGCCTGTCATCAAATTAAGAACAACCACATTAAACAAGGGTGGTGCTGTGGGTTAAACCACAGAGCCTAGGACATGCTGATCAGAAGGTCGGCGGTTCGAATCCCCGCGACGGGGTGAGCTCCCGTTCCTCGGTCCCTGCTCCTGCCAACCTAGCAGTTCAAAAGCATGTCAAAGTGCAAGTAGATAAATACGTACTGCTCCGGCGGGAAGGTAAATGGCGTTTCTGTGCGCTGCTCTGGTTCACCAGAAGCGGCTTAGTCATGCTGGCCACATGACCCGGAAGCTTTCGCCGGCTCCCTCGGCCAATAAAGCAAGATGAGCGCCCCATCCCAGAGTCGGCCACGACTGGACCTAATGGTCAGGGGTCCCTTTACCTTTGCTTTACATTAAACAAGCCTTGTCTTTTCTGTGTGGTGGTCCTTGCTGTTGGTTGGCCTGAATGAGAAATTTGTCTCCTTCATGTGGTGATGTGAAAGCAGTTTGAGCACCATGTATTCTTTGTGATGTTTCCATTCCTGAGTGCAAACTGGCAAAAATCATATCTCACAACTTTCTTTCCCTCCTTAACTTTGACTAAAAAACAAACTGATTGATAGCCAGTCATAAAGAGACAGTAACATGGGTTGTGCAGAAATTGTTTCCACATCTGTGGAATCCGCCCAACATTAATTTTTTTTTGGTCTCCCAGTTAATCATCCTAAATGCGTCTCTGTGCAGGCCTTGAGTAGGACAATGGAACTGCCTGGGCTTCGAAATTCCACATTTCATCCTGGTGAATCCAGGTAGAATGATGCTCAATTAAAGAATGTTTAGCTCTCAGCAATCTTCATTGCAGGTTTCAATATCAAGTCTAAAACTGGCGGAAATAATTCTCTGTGTGACTAAAGCTACTATCAATTCCATTCATTTCTATGGGAATTAGGCAGTTAAAGTGGGTGGCGCAGGAATCCAATCTTCATTAGTATCACTTGTGATTCCGGCGTTGCAAAAGATGCTCCTCGTTCTTTAAAGACAGAGGCATTGTGTTGTTCTTTCTCTTTGGAGAAGAGCTCTATTGTAGCTGAGCTGCAATGAATGAAGTGTCAAAAACCTTTTTATGTGTATTATCACATAATGTTCCATTATCTCCGAGGAAGTCTTAAGCCGCTCGCTGTAGAGGAGGTGACAGGGGAATTTGTTATTGTTTTTCCGTATTCCTTTTTTAACCAAATATAGATGGAGAAGGGTGATAATACCACCTCAGGAGGAAGGCTTCTCTTTGTCTGCCTAAAGTATCTGTAGGAAACTTCTGAAATATGCAGAAACTGATGAGATGGAACCTTTTGTGCTTTGATTGCAATGGGTGATGCAAGCATGAACTCCCTAAGCCCCGCCATGAGAGATAGCAGAGCAAGTATAATGAGGTCAATGCTTCCTTGGGGAGGATGGCATCAAACCAACTCATCACATCAGTCACCACTTAATATTGTTATCTCCATATTAGAAGTGGGGGGCAACCTGTGCCCAAGGATATTATCGGCTTCTGTTAAGTTCTGGAGACTGTCAAACCAAGTTGTACTTAAAATACACACTGGCTTTGCACTGCGGATTTGTTTGATTCTGCTGCCTGTGGATGTATGAATGTTGCCCATCTTCAGATGGTTGCTGCCTTACTGCACACTGGCCCTGCATGGTTAGGACACTTATACAAGAGCAGTTGTGTACTGAGCACAATGGAAGTTGTTTCTTTTTCCATGCATAGTACCATCCACAGCATATTAACTGTGCACAGAGTTTTGAAATTTGATTTTTAAAACGAACTAGTTCAAGTTCAGCATGTATAAAAGGAAACTAATTTCACTTCATGTTTATCCCTTTGCAAAACAAACTAGTTCATTTTTTGCAGTTCAATTCAAGTTCATTCGAATCACCCTTGGCAAAAACAAACAAACAAAAAACAGTTCAGCATTCAGAATGTTACAAGCGTCGAAGAAAACATCAAAGTGCACTTGCAGTGAAATGTGAATTCTTTGATTTAGTTCCCCCAACAATTATGATCTCCAAGTTCAAAGACTCCCAAGAATCTGAAGAGTAAAAACTGCATGCAAAAGATTCAACTGGAAGATGAACAAGAAATCATTCAGAGTTCTACATCAAAATTCATCATATCCAGTTTACCCTGCAATTATGGGAACTGCTTTCAGGTGTAGTTTAGAGATTTTTGAACTTCGAACTAATTCAGCGAACTTTGTTAAATCAAAGCATTTCAAGCACTGACCAGACATCAGGATCTGTATCCAGAAACACAAACGCTGCTCTTAATAGTTCAATGCAGATCATGCACACAGTTAGCTTAACTGAGACCCTTCACCGCATGCTACCTCTAAGCGAGGTCCAGAGGGTGGCAAAAATACAACTGTTGTTGTTGGGTTGTTGTTGTTCTTTGTAGTAGCTACCCATCTATGGAATACTGTCCCCTGAGAGGCCTGCCAGGCACCAATTTTGTCATCATTCTGATGCTAGGCTCAAACTAAGATGGTTTTGTTTTGCCTCAAAGCTCTGATTCCATTTTTTAAAAAAGATGTGTATGTGTTTACTGCATTGCTGTATTTGTTTCTTGGAAATTATTCTTGCAAATCACTTCAGGACATTCAGTTGAGGGAGACAATTTATCAGTTCAATAAAATAACTAACTAAACTGAAATGCACAGACTGCCTGTGATTGCCTTAATAACCCGTCATCTTGCACTCCCAGCTGCTGCTTATTTAACTGCAAAATAGTCTCAAACAAAGGGCCCTGACTTATTCAGTAATGGTCAATGCCCAGCTTTTATATTAGGAATAAGAAACCAAAGATAGCTGTTGCACTGCCACTGACGTGAACATTTAAGAACGGGTCTCATCAAGACTTTGCACATTGTCAAGATCCTTGTTTAAGTCTATTTCACTTCAGTATCTCTTCTCTGGATCTCTACTGGTAGGAAAAGCAAAATCAGTACCGCCACTGGCAGAGAAAGGTAGACAAATGCCTCTTTTTCTTCCTCCCTGAGCCTTTTGTCATATTCTGTGAATCACAGTTGTTCTCGTGGATGCTATTGCAAGAAGTAGCCTTTAAAAGCTTACTTGGATACTAGAGGGTATCAGAAAGCACCTATTACTGTATGGCTCTGGCTTTGCTTCCCAAGTTGGAAGCCTTTTCACCTCTGGGAAAAGGTATATGAAAACAGATCCACAGAAAGCAACATTAACTCCCTTGACACTGGAAGACACACATGTCTTTTTGTGGCAGCTGTGCTAAGTAAAATCCCTCAGCTTTCTTTTTTGATACCTTAGGCTACATGCACATGTTTTTTTTAAAAAAACAACACCTCTCATTTTTTGGTATATATATTTGAAGTTCCGGGTCATATTCTGAAGGCACTCTGTATGTGGCACCTTGGTTCTCAAACTTAATCAATTCCGGAAGTCGGTTCCAAAACCAAAGCGTTCCAAAACCAAGGTGTGCTTTCCCATAGAAAGTAATGCAAAATGGATCAATGCGTTCCAGGCTTTTAAAAACAACCCCTAAAACAGCAATTTAACACGAATTTTACTATCTAATGAGACCATTGATCCATAAAATGAAAGCAATAAACAATGTGCTGCAGTAGCTGAACTGGGTTCCACACAGTCACAAAGACAAAACAAAAAGAGCCGCAGAAGCAAAAACGCAAAATAAATAGCAAAAACAGACAGACCTCAGTGTAACAGTCAAAACGGAAGTGTGGCACTCAAATCATCAGCGTAGCACTCAAAACAGAGCACGTTTGACTTCCGATAAAAGTTCACAAACCGGAACACTTACTTCCAGGTTTGCAGTGTTTGGGTTCCAAGTACCAAGGCATTTGAGAACCAAGGTACCACTGTATAGCAACCTTGTGGAAGCCAAAGAGTGTATTATCAGTGCCTTGTGCTCCACCGTCAAAGAAAGTTTTGATTTTAAACCTAAGCCTATCTGTTATTTTTCTATCTATGGATGAGTCACCTAGGGGACTCCTCCATTTTTAATAATATTAATGGATCAAGCAGCAAATCAAATTTTATACAGAGGATAGCAAATGCATATTCACTATAAAATATAAAACCCAATGTTTGAAATCAAACACAAGTCAAGTAGCTAAAAAAAAACACCTACTGCCTTTCAAATACTGTCATATATCAAATACCAAGTGCCAAATCTCATATGTCATAGCCTGCCAACTATCAAATACTGTCCGGCTTCCAACAATAGAGCTTTCCGTGAGGTCTCGCATTTCACATAGATGAAATTGCCATCAAAATATTCAAATATCAAGAGTCACAAAATTATGACGCAAGCTTATTTAAACAAGAGAATCCAGAAATATGCCAATTTTGACTTTTTGTGTGTCTCACTCTGTGTGTAAACTGAATAATATTTGCTCTATAATATTAATTATGGATTATGCTAATTAAGTAAATAATGATCATTAATCAATCTTTATTATTTCTCTTTGCCTGTGGCTCACAGGGATGCAGGAGTGTACATGCCACCCGATCCAATTAGGGGCCAAATCTGGTGCTTTCCAATGGCTTTGTGCCATCCTGGGTCAATCAGGGGTTGACCCAACCTGACCTGATCCAGGCCTCAGACGGATATGGGGCCCAGCACAGCATTTATTTAGGGTTTCAAACCCTAATTAAACATGAAGTAGGTGGGAGGAGGGAAGGAGATGAATGCAGGCTGCTTGCACATCTCCTTCCTGCCTCTCCTTTCTGTGAGACTGCCCCAAATTTTGACAGCCCTGAATCACCAGAGGTAGACCCTGTCTAATCTGCAGCAATCCAGGGCTGTCTCAGCCCAATCCCTGGTCAACCCAAGTCAACTCAACATGGCCCAGTATCTTGGCACGCTGGCCTGGTATCCACTTGTCCTCAAGCTCAATGCCCTAAGTAGGTTTGGCTCTTAAGTCAGATGGTAAAATAGCATTACGATTGTTAGAAATAAGACAAAGGAATACAACTACAGTGGTACCCCGGAAGTCGAAGGGAATCCGTTCCAGAAGTCCATTCGACTTCCAAAACATTCGGGAACCAAGGCACGGCTTCCGATTGGCTGCAGGAAGCTCCTGCAGCCAATCGGAAGCTGCGGAAGCTGCGACAAACATTAGGGTTCCAAAGAACGTTCACAAACTGGAACAACCACTTCCGGGTTTGTGACGTTCAGGAGCCAAAATGTTCGGCTGGCAAGATGTTTGGCTTCTGAGATATGACTGTCCTCACAAGAAGACAGAGTATCTCATACAGCCTTACATGAACTTCAACATGAAGCTGATAGAGAGAAAAATGCAGATGGAGATCAAATTAGAACCACACCCAGTTGCACCAAACTACATCAAGCAGGTACCAGAGGGGAAACTGGACTAATTCCATTGCAGGTAATGCCTGTATTTATTTCAGCACTGGACTACCTCAACATGAGCTTGGCAACTTATGGCAATCAGACCAATGAGGATAGCATCACTTATATGAGTGAAAGCAATGGTTTTCAGTTACTGATCCCAATCTTGTGCATGCTTTTTGTTCTCAGGTACTGTGCATTTGTTTATTAACTTATTTATGAAAATATTCATACACCACTGTTTCATAAAGAAAGCATTGAAGCGGTTCACAACAACTGAACAAAAAGCCATACAATAAAAACCATATAAAAAAGTTAAATCAAAATTCAGATGGCTATTGTGGAGGAATGCGATTTTAATTGCCTGCATAAGCCGGGTGGAATTAGAAAAGTTTTCAGCAGCCATTTAATAAGTTGAAACAAGAGGAAGCCTGCTCAATTTCTCTTGGCAGAGTTTTCCACAGGACTGGGCCAAGGACACCAAAGGCAATACCATCAATGGAACCAAAGTTAGTAGCAAATCATGTTGATAAAATTGGGACTTGTATTCCTGAGAATATGTATGGAAGTGAGAGCTGGACCATAAAGAAGGCTGATCGCCAAAGAATTGATGCTTTTGAATTATGGTACTAGAGGAGACTCTTGAGAGTCCCATGGACTGCAAGAGGATCAAACCTCTCCATTCTGAAGGAAAACAGCCCTGAGTGCTCACTGGAAGGATAGATCCTGAAGCTGAGGTTCCAATACTTTGGCCACCTCAAGAGAAGAGAAGACTCCCTGGAAAAGACCCGATGTTGGGAAAGATGGAGGGCACAAGGAGAAGGGGACGACAGAGGACGAGATGGTTGGACAGTGTTCTTGAAGCTACCAGCATGAGTTTGACTAAACTGTGGGAGGCAGTGGAAGACAGGAGTGCCTGGCGTGCTCTGGTCCATGGGGTCATGAAGAGTTGGACACGACTAAATGACTAAACAACAACAACAACAGTTCCTGAGAAGAAAGTGTGAAGCTGGCCTACACAACCAGATCTACCTAGCTGAAGTTTGTTTCACCAGCTGCGCATGGCCTCCTTGTTTTTGCTACCTGTCTGCAAAGTCAAAAGTGTGTGTGTGTGTTTTATTTGTGTGGCAGGCCCCAACACAGGGCCAATGGGCTGCATCCGCCTTGATGGATCGCAAATTGCGCAGGCTTGGGCTAAATGCAACACTGCTTACTGGCCATTTGTCATCCCCATGCTCTGCAAAATAAAAATGTCCCGTAGGCATTCCAGTCCTCAATCATTTGCTCGGATGGAACGAAATGCCCTGACTCTATGTGAGCAGGTTCGTAATTACATCAATAATTTAGGATGGCTGCTTGATAGGCATTCCCGGTAGACTCTGTACCTTCCAGTTGCATGTTGTCTCACTCTCACTAGGATGATAATATGTTTGCTGCCATACCTGTGTACTGCGGAAGCTGCTACCGCCACCACCTGAAGAGCAACAGTAGACCCTACGGGAAGTATTTGTTTTGCTTAGTGAAACAAATTAGCAGCTGAGTACAGCATGCAGCCGTAGATCAATCTCTCAAGCCTGCTGTCAACATTGGTGCGCTGTGTTCTTTTTGAGTGTGCTTGGTAAATACTCACTCTCCAGTAAGAGGAGCGGGGGATCAAATGTTGTTGCACAGATTAATTAAGCAGCTCGGGTTTGTGGAGTATTTCGAACATGAAAAGCTCCTTCCTAATGATAACAACAAAAGAACCAGGGCTCTTTGCCATTAGCAAGCCACTCCAGCTAACAAGCTGATTAGCCTCTCCCTAGCTTTGTACACTTAACAATGCTACAGGCTACATGATGCGGTGAGGGCCGTAACTTAAGGAAAAGAAGATGATTTCCCCAGTGTTGGGGGAAAGGAATCCTGATTTTCAAATATTAGATATGGAGTTCATTGTATCTCTGTATCCTTCAGGACCCCTTCATGGATCACTGCCTTGCCGTGGAGAAGGGGCTTGAATAACTCAGAGAAGCTATGAGCTATGCCGTGCAGGGCCACCCAAGATGGACAGGTCATAGTATCCAAGATGGACAGGTCATAGCATCTTAAAAAGCAGAGACATCACCTTGCCAACAAAGGTCCGTATAGTTAAAGCCATGGTTTCCCCAGTAGTGATGTATGGAAGTGAGAGCTGGACCATAAAGAAGGCTGATCGCCAAAGAATTGATGCTTTTGAATTATGGTGCTGGAGGAGACTCCTGAGAGTCCCATGGACTGCAAGAAGATCAAACCTATCCATTCTTAAGGAAATCAGCCCTGAGTGCTCACTGGAAGGACAGATCCTGAAGCTGAGGCTCCAATACTTTGGCCACTTCATGAGAAGAGAAGACTCCCTGGAAAAGACCCTGATGCTGGGAAAGATGGAGGGCACAAGGAGAAGGGGACAACAGAGGACAAGATGGTTGGACAGTGTTCTCGAAGCTACAAATATGAGTCTGGCCAAACTGCGGGAGGCAGTGGAAGACAGGAGTGCCTGGCGTGCTCTGGTCCAGGGGGTCACGAAGAGTCGGACACGACTAAACGACAACAACATCCTTCAGGAATGCCACAATCTGGCCCGTCCAACTGAAATATGTATTTCTGGCTTCCACAGTGAATAAAAAAAAAATCCAGTCTTTGGCCATTTTCGTACCATACATTTAAAACACTATGATACTACGTTAAACAGTCATGGCTTCCCCCAAAGTATTCTGGGAGCTGTGGTGCATTAAAGATGCTGAGAGTTGCTCAGAGACCCCTATTCCCCCGACCATGCTACAATTCCCAGAGATTGACTGTTAAACCATACTGAGAATTGAAACTCTAAGAGGGGGAATAGGGCTTTCCGAGCAATTCTCAGCACTCTTAACAAATTACATGATTCTTTGGGGAGAGCCATGGCTGTTTATTATGATATCATAGTGCCTGTTTTGGCTCAGGGTTTTGAGTCTGCAAATTTAAAAATGACCCCTATTAACCCCCCCGCCCCCCCACACTTTGGATAACATTTGCAGGCATTTTAGCCCTTCCAGAGTGGATAAAGCCTGCCAACCCACCGGTAAATGCATTGTGTTGTTTTCTTACAGTCCCACAGTGTATTTGTTAGATTTGAGCTCTTCATGTAGTAACCCTTGAGCGAACCCAGGGCATCCTGCCTGTTCTGAGTAGGGATAACTAAAGCTGACACATAGTGCAATGCTATAGACAATTGAAGCACCCAGATAGGTTGCTCCTGCAATGACCCTTAGGCATGCAGTGTTGTGGAAATACATTTCTTGCAGCATAGTTAGTCTGAAACTGACCAATTCACAGCCCAGATAAAATGCCCGGATTTCGCCAAGCTCACCCGATGTCCTGAACTGGGCTGATAATGTTGTTCCGAACGCTAATTGGCATTAGCCACACCAGAGCCATCTTGTGACTTACGGCATCACAAGGAAAGCTGGTTGCCAATGAAATATGGCAGAGGCAAATTGGGCATCATCCAGCTTCCTCCCTGGAGAATATGCTTGCATGAATGACGATTCAGACAGATTGCCAGCTTTCCTCTGATCCTTGAAGTATAAACTAAGACCAGGGTTAAATATCATCATGGGTGTAAAAGCACCCATAGTGCCATGTTGACATTCAGACCCATAAGTCAAAGCTCAAGTGAAGGATCAGCCATTTCAAATTTGATTCAAAAGCTGTGCTACTGGGTGGAGGATTCTGCCAGATGGAAGATATCCTCTCTCCTCTCCCCCACATGCAATGTTCAGGGGTGATGGCGGTTTCTTCCAACCTCTCCACAGAGCTAATTTCAGGGGACCCTGGGGGCATGGCTGGAGGAATTGGGGAGAAAGCCCCATTGTGCAAGCGGAAGTCCTTGCACACAGCTTCTGCTGATGGGGCTTCATTGGTGAAGTCCATCCTATATATGTGAATGCCAATCTCAGTAGCAGCTGACTGTTGGCGTTCATAGCCTACGTGTAGCTTGGCAAGTGAGCAATTAGTGTTTTGACTACAAGCTAGGGCAGGCATTCCCAAACTCGGCCATCCAGATGTTTTGGGACTACAACTCCCATCATCCCTAGCTAACAGGACCAGTGGTCAGGGATGATGGGAAATTGTAGTCCCAAAACATCTGGAGGGCCACGGTTGGGGATGCCTGGGCTAGGGAGACAGAGCACGGGAGAAATTTGCCTGGAGATAAGAGGACCTGGTAACAGCTTGGTGATTGCCTGAGATCTCTCATATAGGCAGCATGACCTATGACATTGTTTGGCTAGTAAGGAGTAATCTGGAGTGCTTGGAGAGTGATGAAGTTCATGTCTGTGTATAGTAACTTGTATATAGCTTGTGAGTTTACTGCCGTATATAGTAAAGGTAAAGGGACCCCTGACCATTAGGTCCAGTTGTCGCTGACTCTGGGGTTGCTTTATTGGCTCGCTTCATCTCGCTTTATTGCTTTATCTCTCTTTATTGGCTGAGGGAGCCAGCATACAGCTTCCGGGTCATGTGGCCAGCATGACTAAGCCACTTCTGGCGAACCAGAGCAGCGCACGGAAACACCGTTTACCTTCCCGCCGGAGCGGTACCTATTTATCTACTTGCACTTTGACGTGCTTTCGAACTGCTAGGTTGGCAGGAGCAGGAACCGAGCAACAGGAGCTCACCCCGTCGCAGGGATTCGAACCACAAGTCGATCAGCAAGTCCTAGGCTCTGTGGTTCAACCCACAGCGCCACCTGTGTCCCACTGCCGTATATAATAAACCACAAAATCAAGTTGCTAGTCGTCAACTTTGTTCCTGATCGTCGTCCTGACTGAGCAGCCTCGATTGTTGCCTAGGAAAAGCTGCACTACTCTTCTAAGTTGGGCAGCACTGAAGAAGTTCAAAGGTGAAGAGACTGGTCCTAGTAGCATGCAAAGGACTTCAGAAAGTGCTCACAGGCTTCGGAGTTTTAACAGTTGCTAGCTTGACTCCCCAACACTTGAGAGTTGCTGAGAGGAGAAGGAGGGAGGTGCTGGGACGTGGCAGAGGAGTGGGTCCAACTCTCCAAGCACCGCAACCACACTGTGCTGAGCTCCCCACCACTTCTCCCTTCTCCTTCTTGGTAACCAGCAGGGACTCTCAGCATTGGGGAGCCAGGTAAGCAAGCCAGCGCTGCCAATACTACTCTACCAAGCGCTACGGCTCAATATTAGAAGCTTCCAATCCCCCCCCCACTTTCCAATCTTCCGCTTCGTTTGCACCATTTCCCTGGTTATCACTTCTTTCCTTATGTCTTAGTGTGACCCCAGCCAATTAGGGATCACATGGAGAATGTGACATTTCAGAGGGAGAGAGATATACTTTTACAGCTACAAAAAAAGTACTTTGAATTGCATGTTGACAAAAGAAAAATTCATCCTCCCTCATCCATCTAGCATTCGACCTGAAGGTTCAGATCTAAACAACAACAACAACGACACTGGAGTGGAGAGATCCCCAAAATTGCTAATGTCAATTATAAAGAAGGCATTAACACAGCCCTATATTTGGGGATGGGGTCTTTGTGTGCTGGACAAACGGCCACTGTGAAAGTCTTGAAAGTTCATTGTCCCCCCCCCAACAAAGTGCTATCTCTCAAATTACATTATACCATTTTACATTATACATTTAATTGGCTACTTCTTAATGGCAGCAAGAGTATCCATAGCCAGAAATTGGAAAGGAGCAAAGGGTTTTAAAAGGTGATGACATTTCGGAGGGCAAAGAAACCTTCCTCAGAGCGAAGGCAATCAAGTTGGAAACCCTGTAGCCTCAGCAGCAGTCCCTGAAAAAAAAATCACTTGAAGAAAACGACTGATGCTGATGAAATGTTGATGAAAATCTTCCCATGATGCTCCCCCTGTTTTTGGCTCAGTCTCACCTTAAGTCTGATTCCAGATCTTTTACTCCTAGAGCAATAGACCATAGGCCAAGCTATTAGAAATATTCGGTTTTTAATTGCTTGTCTTCGAGGAATACAGAAGAAGCTTTTTAAGCATTCCAAATAATTAAAGCAAAAGAGTGTTCAAATATAAATGTTAGCCAAGTCCAAGCTGATGTGATTAAACAGTTGCCTTCGCAGGAAACTGGCCATGCTTCCTCCTCCATCTGCTAGGCAGGCAATCAGATTAGATTTATGCTCCATGCTTATTTTCCTCTTCGTAACAAAAGGGGATAAGTCTTGTTTATATTTCTAGTTATTACAAGGTGGCTAACAACTCTGCAAAATATATCGATCCGCTTTTTTAAAAGGGGGAGATTTTAGCCTAAAAAAGAACAAAGCATGAGCCACAAACTGTAATATTTTACTCCAGTCAAATGGAAATGAAAAACCAAGACCATGAAGGGGGAACCCCCCCCCCCAATTGCAGCCCTTAAATAAAGAAAATTGCATTTATACCGGAGTTTGCTGAGAGTTAGAGCTACCAGTAAGTTTCCTGAAAACTGCTCTTCAAAATGAGTTTTGGAAAATTAGGTTAGTATCGACTTGGTTGTTAATAGCTGGCTGTTCCTTTTTAAAAATATTTATTTGGTTGTTTTGGTAAAAAAGATTAAATTATGCTGAGAACGAGCTGCAAGTATGTGGATTTATATGAGGTTATTTGCAAATATATACCCTTCACACACTCTAAAACGTATTTCAAAGAATAATCTCTGAGCCTGGAAGGCTGCTGTGCTTGTTATAAAAGGCAAATAGATTGAGTTGATTTCTTAATAAGCATCTCACTTTCTATTTGCAGTTTACACTCCCCTTTCCCCCTGTAGGCAAAAGCCTTGGTGGTTTCAGTTCTGATTTCCGTGAGATATTACTGTTCAATAAAGGGTATTTTTTTTTTTTTTTAAATCATATTTATTAAAGTTTCCAAAAATATAAAAATACAAAGAAAAAAGACAAAAGAAAGAGGATATTTAAAAACCTTACTTTCATTCCCTACTTTCTGGGACTCCCCTCCCCCAATTGTATTCCCCTTTCCTTAATTTGGTTCTACAAGTCTCACTCCCAATTTAAAGCTTAATTTGTTTAACCCACTATCCAGATTGAATTGTACAAATCTTACCACCGTCCCACATCATTAACAGAAAAAGAAAAAGATTTTCCCAAGATCCACCCCAGTTCCTTCCCCAAATGCCCTTTTTTTATTAAACACGTCCGATCAAAGTAAAATAACATGCGTAAGTTATGTAAAAAAATAGAAAATAAGAGATATAGAAAAATTCAAAAAATGGTTACACAGCCTTTGGATTTCAAATCTCCCCTTTCCCCGGTTTGAATTCCTCATGTCCATCAGTCTATACATTATCAGCTTGGAAGTCTCATTTCATGACCAGATTTCTCCCGATTCCATCATGCCGGTTTTCTTTTAGTTTATTAATTTAAATAATATTTGACTTCAAATGTCCAATCTAACAAAGGCCTTTAATTTCCTTGATCTTTACCACTCCTCCCGTTGTTCTTTCCGTGTCGTAATCATTCCTTTATTCTTCTTATTCCTCACTTTCTCAGATTTCTTATCCTGTTCAGCTGCTAAAACTTTCTAATTCAGAAATCTAGTGTCTCTGCAGAGGTTTGTTATTCAGGAACAAAAACTTACGTCCAGTCCCTTTCTTTCTTCAATAAAAAATTCCATTGTCTTCCTCTGTAAACAAAATACTCTTTCAGTTTTGCAGCTTTCCCAGAAGATAACAAATCCTGTGCGAATCCCAGGGTATTTTTCCACTTACGACCGTTCTTGTAGTATCCCGAAACCCCTCTAGGGGATTGTAATAACTTTGTATCCTCTAATCCAAAAGTCAAATTGTTGCTTATTTTCCAACAGTTTATATCCATATTATAGCAAATTGTAACAAAATTTAACCAGCAAGGTCCTCATAACAAAGTCCTCTTTATATTCTCCAGCTTTGACAGCCACTTTGACAGCTGTCAAAGTCTCCGTCCTCTTCACCAGGCTCCACGAATCGCCCCGGTTCCCAGGGGGGGGGGGTTGCATTTTTCGTCTCACCCTCCACTCTTCTCCTCCAGCACATTTCTTATAATTTCCCATCGTGAAATTAATGATTTTTATCAGAGACATACTTCCCTGTCGACCTTGGGTACCCAGTCCTTGTTTTGGAATGCTTACAGTAGGGGGATTGACTTCCTTTTAAATCGCCCCCGCTCGTGCCAAATCCAAAATTTTGAACCCGGTTTCCCAATTACTCACGGGTTGTTGTTAATAGTCCAAATTTTCAATAGAAGAAGTCAGCGCTCTCCGTCGAATGGCAATAAAGGGTATTTTTTAAAGGGTCGGCTCCTCAGCTTATGTCAGGCTGACCTGTGAGTGGTTTGAAACAACGACTTGAGGCAACGAGATCACTTGCTAGCCCCCCATGTCTACGCTGGGTAGTGCATTTTGAGAAATACAACATGGCGGCCATATGGCTCCCACGCAAACAGTGCTAATATCTGACTGGTGTGTGTGTGTGTGTGTGTGTGTGTGTGTGAATGATTGGCGACTTCTGCTCTGCCAAGACTAGTTCTCACAGTGCCCAACCAGATACAGTGGTACCTCAGGTTACATACGCTTCAGGTTACAAATGCTTCAGGTTACAGACTCCGCTAACCCAGAAATAGTACCTCGGGTTAAGAACTTTGCTTCAGGATGAGAACAGAAATTGTGCTCCGGTGGTGAGGCGGCAGCAGGAGGCCCCATTAGCTAAAGTGGTGCTTCAGGTTAAGAACAGTTTCAGGTTAAGAACGGACCTCCGGAACGAATTAAGTACTTAACCCGAGGTACCACTGTACCCATGTAACAGCATTCTCCCTGTTTTCAGTTCCCAGCAGCCGGTGTTCAGGGACACACTGGTACCAAAAATGGAGGCTGCGTATAGTCACGACATAGAGGCAGGCTTTGGGCTCTCAAATTGAAGCGGTGCAATGCTAAAATTCAGTGCCCCCTGCCTTTCATGCTCCGTTCTACAGCATTGTTGTGGCAACCCCTGCAGCGCAGTGCAACCGAACCGGTTACACTACCCTAAAACCACCTCTGTACAATGACTGGTAGCCATTTTTAGCCTCATCCTCTGTGAATTTGCCCAGTCCTCTTTCAAAGTCACCCAAGTTGGTGGCTAACCCCACCTCTTGCGCGGATGAATGCCATAGTTTAACCATGCACCCTTGTGTCGTCACACTAAGCCTGTCGTTGACTTAGATCGTCATGGGAACCGGCCCACTGTCTCTTCCTCTCACCTTGCCTCACGAGATTATTGTTATAGTAAAGGAAAAGAAGTATAAACCAAATCCCTGTCCATTGAAGAGTGCTATAGAAATGAATTACCTCGCTAATAAAGCCCCGCATAATATATTGTGCCTTCTCTTTTCCCATTCCTCGAGCTTGCAAAGGGAGAAAGGCTGTGTTTATAGTGAAGGTGCTGATTTATTTTGTATTAATTTGAACGCATTGCTTAGCAAGTGAATTTATTACCACCTCGTACGCACAAAAAGAGGTGCATGTGTGGGGGATATTGATATTTCTACCCCTGCTTGTGAGCAGGGAGGTAACAATGAATATGAATGATCAATAAGTGAATAAAAGCTGTTTAAACTTTCTAAGCATTTTAATTAGCAGCTTTTCGTCTTGGGGCCAGGAGTGCTGGAATGAGTGTGATGTTCCTTCCAGAAAAGTATTGTTTAGTATTTGGGGGAGTGTTTGTTTATTTATTTGCACCTGACCTTCTTTTCTGGTCTTCGTCTTCCATCATGTTCTTGGAGCATGAGAAGACATTGTTACAGGTAGCTAGTTTTTTCAGGGCTGCTCTGTACTAGGTGTAGACCCACCAAACTGACCCCAGTTCATCAGACATATATAGTAGCTTTCATCAGCCCAGGCAGCTACTAGGCTGATGCTTTGACCTGACTCCAGATGGTAGGGAACTAATTACAAACCTCCATTTAACATTTCCCATTATGCCCTGGTGCTACATCAGGGGAGGGAAACCTGTGACCCTCAAGATATTGCAAGACGAACACTCCCATCATCACTCTCCTGCTGCATGGGGGCGATGGAGTCCAACAAGATCTGGTGAGCCAGAGTTAATTTGGGGAGGATTTTATACATGTGTTAGTCAATCAAGGCTTAGAGACACAAAATACAGGAAAATCTGATATATCGCAGACCTCAGGGAACAGAAATACAGAAAATGACAGCTGGTCCACCTGGTGACAAAGTGTCTTTGCCTCCAGGATCACCATAGAGGAGAGATTTTTACATTGATGGTCCAAATGTAAGACACCACCAGAGAGGCAGACTTGAGCAGCCCGGTAGAGAATGCCCAGTTCGCTCCATCAGTCTGTCTCCTCCTTCTGTCTCCTCTTCACACCGTAACGTCCACACACACCCATTCCTGATGCCCATGACTAGGTCACTGCTGAGCCATCTCCTGTCTGCTGTTGTCTAAGTGGTGATGCAGCAGTCCTGGGGATATTAAATGTTCTCCTCCTAAATGATGATGGAGGGTTCTGGCTGTGGCACTAACCATGTTGGGAAGGAGATGGCAAGATCTGTCAGAGGAAGAGGAACAAGAAGTTGGGTGTTAGGAGAGGGTCCCACTACATTGCACAGGAGTGGAGGGGGAGCTGTCTGAGTCAGTCTCCATTCTGCCCTCAGAGAGTGAGGTTTCCATGGTACCCAATACCAGTAGGGCCAGCCAAACTGGAACTGGAATGAGAGTTAGAGTGTTGGACTCAGGTCTCAAGGACATGTCTTTGTCTGCACTGGTGCAGACAGAATTGGCCACTCACACATCCATAGGACTGCACACTTGCAAGCACAGCCATCTGTCATGGATGCTTTAGTTGAGATTATTGAATTGCAGGGGGTTGGACTAGATGACCCTTGGGGTCCCTTCCAACTCTATGATCTCACTAGGGGTGAGAACCATGCAACTGACTGGTCCTGCCACACTCTTTAAAAGTGGAGCTATAGGGGTAGGTCAGATGTTGGGCCAATGGCTTAGCTACTTCTTAGAGCTTGGTCAGTCTTATGAATCATGCGTCCTATACTATATAACCATGCTCTGATTTCTTAAACAAAACCTTCAGGTTTCCTCGAGTCGAGAGTCATGAGTACTGTGTCCAAGAGGTGAGCTCCCTCCCACCTCCCAGAACTAGCTGGAGGTCTGGGATGAGGGGAGGCAGAAATGATCAGGTGCAGCGTACAAGAATAGGATATTATTATTATTATTATTATTATTATTATTATCATTATCATGTAACTGTAATACAACTCCATGCGTCATTGCACCAACAAGCAAAGATGCATATATGTCACTATCCTGAGCCCTTAAAAAAAATAAAATTGAGCAAGCTATAATATTGATGGAGTGTCAAATGCAACTGCTCAACATCTGAAAAGGCAGGATCGTGATTCCTCCACCACTTAAAGAGATGGTGTGTATCAACCCTAAATTTTGCTCAATGGGCTGAATTGATCTGCCTGTTTATTAAGGGCAAAGCTATGGAGGAAGGGGTCACTCTCTGATTTGTTGGTCTTTCTTGAGATCTAGAGAACACCCCATGGGCTCACAGCAAAGCTTTTAACTTGCTTCCCCCTTTGGCATGAGCCCAGAATTTTAAATTGCAACCCTGATGTAGCACATACAGCATAAACCACCGGGGAATATAACATAAATAGTTGCTGGACCGCCCTTGATTTAGGCAGGGTATAAATGACGATAGCTTTGCCTCGGAGAGAACTACAACCTATTCCTGAGCATTAAAATGGTAGGCATATTTCAGAAGGCAACTGCAAATGTACATTGTATTGGTGTTATCTCTTGGCATTCAATGGCTTTTCCCTTAGTTCTTGTATTGCTTTATTGCAGGGAGCAACAACAATGATTACAGCCGGCATTTGTTCATGAATTTTTCCCTGTTGTGGACAAAAACTGCTGTGCTAAGGCCAGTAACTAGAAGGCCTCTACACAGTGGGGTCGCAACGGGGTGGGGGGCAGTTCGCCCTGGGTGCCATGTCTGCAGGGGTGACAAGAAGTCACCCTGTGGGGGCTCAAAGCGGTGCAAGCTGCCATCGCACCACCGCCGCCGCATGTGACGGATCCTCCGTTCGCGGCTACAGCTGCGAGCAGAGGATCCCAGCGCCAGCGGCCAACCGTTAAGTGCAGCACATGTGCGGCATCACACGCATGCGCTGTACGTAGCACCGCCACACATGCACTGTATAGCGGTTTGCTGGCGCCGCCGCTCCAGCGCTGTACGAATGGTGCCGGGATCCCTCCGTCGCCGCTACAGCTGCGAACAGAGGATCCCAGCACCATCCGTACTGCGCTGGAGCAGCACCGCCGGCAAACCGCTATGTACAGCTCATGCGCAGCGTCGCTACGTACTGTGCATGCATCGTACATAGCGACACCTTCCTTCGCCCCTGCCTCTACATTGCACTGTGGGCTGCCCCTTTCCTACAATTTCTGCTCAAGTAGGAAAGGAAAGTGGTGTCTATACTAGTAGTGAAGAGAGAGACAAAGCTGCATTAAAACAGGATGCTAAAGTGGCAAATGCAATGTAAACAAGTGTTAAGTGATGCATTTTAAGGCTGTTAGGAAAATTCCTAGGATTCCTTCCTTGGAGTAGACTGCTGAAAGCCTCTAAGAAAAGTGGAGTCAGGTACACAAGGTAGGCTCAACAGAGATTTATTAATCATTAAGACAGTGCTGAATGGTCAGCCATGGTTAAAAAAAAAGAAATAAAATAATAATAATAAGAAGAAGGTAAAGGACCCCTGGACGGTTAAGTCCAGTCAAAGGCTACTGTGGGGTGCAATGCTCATCTCACTTTCAGGCTGAGGGAGCCTGCGTTTTTCCTTAGACAGCTTTCCAGGCCATGTGGCCAGCATGACTGAACCACTTCTGGTGCACGGAACACCATGATGGAAAGCAGAGTGCACGGAAACACCGTTTACCTTCCCACGGCAGCGGTACCTATTTATCTACTTTCACTGGTGTGCTTTCGAACTGCTAGGTTGGCAGGAGCTGGGGCAGAGCAACGATAGCTCACCCCGTCACAGGGATTCGAACCACCAACCTTCTGACTGGCAAGCCCAAGAGGCTCAGTGGTTTAGACCACAGTGCCACCCACGTCCTTGTCAGCCATGAAGCTATTGCCGCAAGCATGGCCTGACAACGGTACATGCCCTCCAGCTCTTCTTATATGCTCTTTTTCTGTCAGGTAAATACATGAAATCCTTGTGCCTGTATCATTTATGCAACATTATTGCCTACAGCAATGTGTGAACAGCTCGTGGACACCCTACCTGGCCTTCCAATTGGACATCCCATAGTTGGAGTCGTTTTCCACTTAGAAACTCCATTTATCTTATCAAGGTGTCATCCTCAATCATTCCTTTCCAGCAGGTTTTCGACTTGCACATTCCGTTACCCTTCCCTCCCAGACTTGTCTTTGGCAATTCTCCTTGTTTGTGCTAACCCTTATTATTACAATTCAATCTGTTTTCCTCTTATCTGGTCAGTTATTAATCTCCCGTTGCTGAGGGCAAGGTTCTGGCTGCTCACCTGCGCTGCTTTGGACAAGCATTTCTGACTCTAAGCATAGACAGCAACTTTGATTTTAAATACTTCTGTAATATCCATATCATTATATACATGTCCTATACAGTCATACCTCGGGTTACAGACACTTCAGGTTGTGAATGCTGTGGGTTGCGAACATGCATCCCGCACGGATCACGTTCACAACCCAAGCGTCCACTGTATATCCAATACACATATTTGTAACAAAGGCAAAAAAATAAATCTTAATTTTACATACATGCTCATGGGGTCTCAACAGGCTGTGACTGAGCAGGAACAAGACTTAGGGATCATAGTGGATCGATCAGTGAAGATGTCTGCATAGTGAAACAGGCTAATACCAAGCTTGGGGTCATTAAGAAAGGAACTGATAATAAAAATGTCCATATCATAGTGCCGTTATACAAAACTATTGAGCGAGCACATCTGGAATCTGCTTACAGTTCTGATTAAAAAGGTAAAGGTAAAGGTACCCCTGCCTGTACGGGCCAGTCGTGTCCGACTTTGGGGTTGCGCACCCATCTCGCTTAAGAGGCCGGGGGCCAGCGCTGTCCGGGTCACAGACACTTCCGGGTCACGTGGCCAGCGTGACAAGCTGCATCTGGCGAGCCAGCGCAGCACACGGAAACGCCACAGTTCTGGTTGCTTCACCTCAAAAAGGAAATTGTTGCGTTGGAGAAGGTTCGGCGTTTGAGGTGGTCATTTTGTTTGCCATTGATGAAACTTCACCTTTCCCTCCCTACTATTTCTGATTGGAAAGAACCTCTCGCCACTTTCCTCAGGCCTTGGGAGTGACACAATGCAATGTGGCATGATATTGCCATTTGCTCCAAATGCATTCCAGGAGGTATGGTCAGCCTTAATTTGAGGCATGAGAATCTTAAGAAAGCAATGGAAAAAAAGTAAACCCTTTGTCTATCTCATAAGATGAGGTTAGGCAAGAAGCAATCCCACCCTGAAAATTTAAGAAAATTAATTTCCCCTGTTTTGGGGTGGGCGTGGGGGTCCATTTCACACTTGTCCAGCCTCAATTAATTTTTGTTGACTTTTTTCAGCTCAGATTTAATCTTATGCTTGTGATTGCTGGTTGATTTGAAGGTTCTGTTGATGGGATGGAAAAGCAAGCTGCAATGTGTTTTCATAAATACGTTAAATTCTGCCTTAGCTCCACTCCCCTCTTTCTTGCTGCTGGCCTGTTTCATACCTATTCTTTCTGGTTGCCATGGCAATGGGGTTTGCTCGCTTACAAGGCCAATAAACCTGCCATTACTTACCGATCTGTAATAGCGCTGACATGTTGTTCCAGGCTAGGCCTCTAGTTCCATGCCAGATGGACTAGCTCTGACCGAGTCACTGCCCTCCAATTATTGACACCGCTATAAGGTCATTCAATCTGGGGTCTCTCTTTCCCGCTCAAGTTGCCTCAAATGTACTTGGAAAGTTCATAGCCAGCTGGGATTGTACGGGGCCTGAATGGATAGTGCTGCAACACTAGCCCTGCCTCTGTATTTGCTGAAGTGCCCAGAAAGACCCCCCACAGCTGGAAATAAACAGAAGAGGTGGAATTCAACATCACACTATGGTTGAACATCCCACCATCACTAGCGTTGCCATTTGCCAGATGCTGTTTGCCAGATGTAACCAAGGCACCAGGCAAACCCATTCTCATGTTGCTTCCTTCCAGACCTCTTGTGGAAGAGGCACATGAAGAAGGGCCTCAGGTGATGATCACAGGGTCTGGGTTGGTTCATGTGGGGAAAAGCGGTCCTTGGGGCATTGTGGTCCTGAGTTATTTAAGGATAAGGCATCACTGAGGATAAGACCATCAGTGGCTACTAGCTTTGATGGCTGTCAGGGACTGGCTGGATGAGGAAGAGTGGTGGGAGATGCCTGCCCAGGAGCTCCCCAGGGAGGGCACAGAAGATGACAACTTAGATCCTGGATCCTGGTGGTGGGACACTGAAGACCAGTCTGCAGAAGGGATGAGTTGGGAGGTGCTAGAAGCAGGGGGGTTGAGTGATCAAGGAAGATCAGGAGAAAGAGGGCCTTCTAGGACAGGATTAGAAGCTGAGAGTCACAGAGTGAGTGCAGACTCAGACAAGGAGGAGTCAGATATTGCTCCTTCTACACAGCAGCAGCACAGTCCCAAGGCCTGCTGGCTCTCCTCCCCCCTCCAGCATTCCATTTGAGGAAAGTCCTACGATGGCCAGAGGAGGAGCTCACCCACTTGATGCATGGTTCATCTGCTTGGGAGGGATTTAAAGTGGAAGGCTAGAGGGGGAAGTGTGGAGCTAGTAGTCAGCTTCAGCAACATCTCAGCTGGCTTGAGACAGAACAGAGGACTCTACTGTGTTGTTATTTTCTGTTAATAATGAGTTAATTGTGTTTCATGCATCCCGTGTATGTGCCTGCCCTGTGGTTGACCTGGCTTGCTTGTCAGCTCCTTGACAATGGCTATGTTCTACCTACACTGTCTTCATACCTCTCTTAATACCAGTCACTGGGAATTAGAGGTGGGCAGAGTGCAGTTTTGCTCATGTCCTTATTGCCGCTCGCTGGTATCTGGTTGGGCACTGTGAGAACAGGATGCTGGACTAGAAAGGCCATTGACCTGCTTCAACAGCCTCTTCTTATGTTCTTATTTAATCAGCCTACTCATGTGTAAATGTTTTGGTGCTATTAAGGAAAAACAAATGATCCGTGCTTTGGCTTATCAAGATGTTTTTTTGCCACCATGGTGGGTAGAGAGTGCCATCTGGGTTTTCTGGCTCAGACACCGCAATGTCTTGTATCTGCCCACAAATATATTATAGGACCAAAACAGAAATCCATCTCTGTATGTAAATGTAGCTGATAAGTACAATGGCTCAAACTGCAGATTATTTTTGTGCAGAAGTCTCTCTTATGTTAAGTAAATTAAAAACTTATCCCAAACAAAAGAGTTGCATTTTAAGGCACCTGATGTTGGTTCATAATAATAAAAAATAAAAAATAATCAAGCCAGATTGCTTTCCACAGCTGTTTTGAGATTAAATAAAATTGGTATGCCCCAACATGCACTCAACAAATCTGGCATCAGAAGTGACATTTAAATTATGGAAAGGATGAATTAGACAGAATTTTCTAATGATAAACATTTTGCTTATTCAGTCTTAGTGGTGCAAATCCATGCCTATCCCACCTTTCAGTGTTTTAAAGATAAGATCTGCAAATTGGATTGAAAGGGAAATGTAGGAAATAAGTAAAAGGGAAGGAAAGGGAAATCATAGCTACTATGAGCTGCCTCTGATATTAGTCCTGCTCATAGCAGACCAACTAAAATGAGCAGTCATGAATATGGGTACTATCCTAAGGCTAAATCAGCTAGGATGAGTGGAGTTATGATCCACTGGATCTCCAGCTGAGCAAAGAGGTTTCTGGCTCTTAAACTATTATCATCAAGATATTATCTTATTTGAGGATGTTTTTCTCCTTCATTATGTGGAAAAACTATTACAGTGGTACCTCGGGTTACATACGCTTCAGGTTACATACGCTTCAGGTTACACACTCCGCTAATCTAGAAATAGTGCTTCACGTTAAGAACTTTGCTTCAGGATAAGAACAGAAATCGGGCTCCGGCAGTGTGGCTGCAGCAGGAGGCCCCATTAGCCAAAGTGGTGCTTCAGGTTAAGAACAGTTTCAGGTTAAGTACGGACCCCCGGAACGAATTAAGTACTTAACCCGAGGTACCACTGTATTCTTACACTTCGCCTTACCCTTTTTCTATTTGGAGTCATTTCTTTGCTTTTTGTGTACGCCACCCAAAACTGTCTGGTGTGATACACAAACCTATTAAATGGAAGGACTCTCCACCGTTGTTTTCCTTTTTCACACACGCATGATAAGAAAGCCAGTCCTCCCTCAAGGAAGCAAATGTCAGAAAGACCTTTTGAAATGACATTATATGCTGAGTCACCATCCCTGCTCAGGAGACTTAGTATTGCACCCCTTCCCTCGCACCCACCTACCCCCGTTGTCAAAATCGACATGCTGCTTTTATGTCCTGGTGGTCTTGTCTGCCTGGCATCTCATCAGAAAGCTTCCCGACAAATCTGCGGGGAGAATGGCATGACAATTAAGACACGGATTTCAAATGTACGCCGTCAGCCCGAGTGCTCTGCACAGAGGAACAGGCGACTTGTAAATGTCACAGCTCAAACCCAGACATTTATTAGTTTAAAGCTGACACACTTTCCCTTCCCAGCAAGTAGTGAGAAAATGTTTTCCCCCCCCTCTCACTGGAGACATTTAAAACAGTGGTAGATTGGACAAAGTGCTATATATAAAAAAACAATTCACTCAGTAGATCTTCAAGAGGCCCATACAAAGGGATAAGCTGGATGAACACATCAGATTCCACAGTTCTTTTGACCATGATCTCCCACTACACATGAGTAGCACATGAAGAAGATTCAGTAAATTCAGAACTCAGATGTTGTCCCTTCTGACTAAGAGCCTATGAAGAATTTGAGAAGCATCTTTTTTGCTGTGATAAATTCAGAGATCAAACCTGTTGGGTGTTCAGGAAGACATAGGACTTCCAACAGGAAACCAGTCCACTAATCCTTTCTACTTCCTTTTTAATAATGGAATAACGTTCCTCAGTCACTTTAGAGAAGTTTATTTCTGTTCACTAAGAGGAGCAAGTGGTTTATTCGGGGGAAAAGATCACAGAGATCGCATGTTCATGGTAACCCTACAGAAGTGGTGAAATCTCTCGGAGGTAGCCTGTCTATGCCTCAGTTTTGCCTCTGACCATTCTGTGTGGGGTGTGGGAGAAAAGAATTGCACCAGAATCAGTGCTGGGAGCCTGCAAGAGTGGTGGTTTGTGTGTGTGTGTTGTGTAATATTGACACAATATTGTGTGTATTGACACAACAGCAGTGCATTAGTGATAGATTTATACTGTCTACACATCAATATCCAATAATGTCATCTGAAGGGGCTATCTTCTACTATAACACAACAAATGTGGGACAGAAAACAACAACCCCTTGAACACTTGTGACATAAAAAGTTACAGGAAGTCTCACCTGGAAGTTATGATACATACACTGACTAGAAACAAAGCAGTACTGTATGTCCATCCTGAAACATTTGCAGATGTAAACAGTATTGAAAGTGGAATCATATGTAACTTTCCTGATACTACCATGATCACAAATCATCATCAATGAACTTTACACAGTAGAAAGGTTGTCAGGAGGGCCTTACAATAATGGATTTTGACCAGTATAGCCTGCAATGATTGGAAACCAATGGATAGAATATATCTAAATTGGGTCTATTACATCTACCTCACTATGACTGTATTTCATCTGATCCATCCACTGTAATTATTAAGTTTGCAGATGATACTACCATAATGGGTCTAATTACAGGTGGAGATGAATCAGTGTACAGGGGGGAGGTTCAAAAAGTATCTACATGGTGCTTAGAGAATAACTTGCAACTAAATATTAGCAAGACAAAGGAGATGGTGTTGGACTTTCGGAGGAAGAGAGGGAACTAGCCCCGTTATATATCCGGGGGGGGGGTGCATGGAGAGAGTCTCTTTCTTTAAATTGCAGGGAGTTTACCTTAGTGAAGACCTCACTTGGAAAAACAATATAACTCGGGTGGTTAGGAAGGCCCAACAGAGAATCCATTTTCCTAGGGTCTTGCGAAAGAACAATGTTAAACAAAATTTGATGACCTCCTTCTACCAGTCCACAATAGAAAGTGTCCTCTCATATTGTCTCACAGTGTGGTACGTTGGCTTGACAGCCACAGACAGAGAGTCTTTACAGAGGGTGGTGAACACAGCACAAGATATCATGGGCTGTCCCCTGAGCCCGCTAGATGACATTGCAAGGGATCAATGCCTTAGGAGAGTGAGAAAAATTCTCAGGGACGATTCACACCCCGGCCAGCACCTCTTTAATTTTCTACCCTCGGGCAGGAGATATAGAAGTATAATCAGTCGTACCACCAGGCTAAAAAACAGTTTCTATCTGTGGGTTGTTAGGCTGCTGAATGGAAAATAATATAGTGCAACTGACTTTTGGGGTTGGTGTGTTGTGCGACAAGCACACAGAGTGCAATGAGACTGAGTGTTTGTGGGGAGGGGGACTCTGTTAATTTCATTGTACACAGGTTGTACATTGACAATAAAGGAATTTTTTTAAAAAAGGATCAGAAGGAATATACACACATATTTCATATACATACACTAGGGGTGTCAACTCCCTCCACCCCTTTGCCAATCAGCAGGTGCATGAACTACAGCATGACAACAGCCTTACATTTTAATTTATATAGGAAGATACACACACCCCACAAAGTAGGAGAGCTCTGTCACAAAATGGCTGCCATGGAGGATGTGGCATAACATAAAATGGCTGCCATGGAAATGTGACATAAATGACTGGGAGGGGGCATGGCATTATACAAAATGTTTGCCAAATCTGAAAGAACAGAAAAAGGCACTTACATCACAGTAAAACCCAAAGGAGCGTCTCCACCCCCATTGTTCAGCCCGGACACTGAGGTCCAGCTCCGAGGGCCTTCTGGCTGTTCCCTCGCTGCGAGACATGAGGTTGCAGGGAACGAGGCAGAGGGCCTTCTCGGTAGTGGCACCCACCCTGTGGAACGTCCTCCCATCAGATGTCAAGGAAATAAACAACTATCTAACTTTTAGAAGACATCTGAAGGCAGCCCTGTTTAGGGAAGTTTTTAATGTTTGAAGTTTTATTCTGTTTTTAATGTTCTGTTGAAAGCCGCCCAGAGTGGCGAAAACCCAGCCAGATGGATGGGATATAAATAATAACAACTTCTTCTTCTTCTTCTTCTTCTTCTTCTTCTTCTTCTTCTTCTTCTTCTTCTTCTCTCTTTGAACTTTTCATTTGTTCAGTCTTGGAATCCAGTGAAATAAGGGACTGGGTGGAACCGATCAGAAAGAGCAAACAGTCTTTTATATGCTGTGGATTTTTGAGGGGATATTTACTTTTGTGGGTGCCATAGGAAGTCCTGAAAGGCAGCATGATTTCCGCAGGTGCCAGAGTGGCAACCCCTATCCCTCATGGATGCTACTGATAAAACAACCCGTTAGATGCACATGGTGGTTGATCATCATGTGGTGAGAGCTGCTAAGTATGATAGAGTATGTGGCAGAATTGTGCCAGGGATACCATATTAGATAGTATCTCAGTGGTGGTTGTTAACACATACTTGGAACAGTAATGGTGAAGTAACTCTCCATTGCAAGACATTGCTGATCTTTCCCCTTAAATACGTAAATGTTGAACTTTGGAAGAGGGAGATTAAGAAATCTCCAAGTCAACAACATCTCCGGCATGCCTTGCAGAAAGAAGAACGATAGCAATGGTAGTAAATTGAAGGGGTAGGACAATGTAAGAATAGATTATTGGACAATTCTCTTGACCATTATATGAACCCATAAATTCCATTTATCCATGAAATAACTATTGCCTTCATACTGACATCGTCCCTATAAGAAACATTTTGCCTTATAGAGACAATTGCATCCTGCTTTTTCATTAAGATGCCTTGCATTTCATTGTATGAATAGCTCAGAAAAAAATATTCAATAAGATGGGCATTTCACAGTAAATAAATTGCACTGATACAACACTATAAAAAGCAATGCTCAGTGGTTTCTCTAGGTCAACCTCTGTTCTAGAGCTCTGTGCTTAGCTTTTAAACATGCATTTATGAACAATAAAGGTTACTTTTTGTTAAATGAAATAACACCAACAAAATGCTATGTGTTTTCTGAATAGGAGAGTCAACTAACTGGCTCTTCTGTTTTATGCCTCTTTGAAGGCCTAGTCAAAAATTACATGGTAATTGCCATGCCTAGCCCTGGTCTATCAAAGAGGAAGAGCACTATGCCCTGAAACGTGAGCCCTGTTTCAACATTAGTTGTGTGCAGGGCAACTTTATGTTGACTAATGAGTGGGGCCCTACCCCTGACTTCAGTGCCCGGATTTTGCAATGCAAAATACCCCTGACCCGAATTTTGCAATGCAGTTCTCCATCCAAGTATTGTATATAAAAATGCACGTTAGTGAAAACAGCATGCAAAAGTGCATTCTAACAAATGCAATTACTTTGAAAAAAAAATTGTTATTTTTTTAAAAATCACAAAATGATGTGGGAATCTGTAGAACTTCTTCCTTCCTGCTGATAGATTGAAACTGCAGAGTTTTGAAAAATTAAAAAATAAAGTGCGAGACTGGCTTCATTATTATCAGATAATGGAGGCATACAATTTGGACAAGAAAATTGGCTTCCAGGTGGAAAAATCAAAATTAGAAACAGAACTGTTAGAACCCAAAACTAAGATTTTGTCAAAGATGTATAACTTGCTGTTGAAATGGAATACTCAGGATGAAACGGTGAAATCTGCTATGATTAAATGGGCACAAGACGTTGGACATAATATTATGTTTGCTGACTGGGAACAGTTGTGGACCACAGGTATGAAATTTACGGCATGTAATGCCTTAAGAGAGAATATTATGAAAATGATATACAGGTGGTACATAACCCCAGTCAAGCTTGCAAAAATCTACCATGTGCCCGATAATAAATGTTGGAAATGTAAAGAAACTGAAGGTACATTTTTTCACCTTTGGTGGACGTGCCCAAGGATTAAGGCTTTCTGGGAGATGATTTATAATGAACTGAAAAAGGTATTTAAATATACCTTCTTGAAGAAACCAGAAGCCTTCCTCCTGGGCATAGTGGGCCAATCGGTGTTAAAGAAGGACAGAACTTTCTTTATGTATGCTACAACAGCAGCAAGAATACTTATTGCAAAGCATTGGAAGACACAAGACTTACCCACACTGGAGGAATGGCAGATGAAATTGATGGACTACATGGAATTGGCGGAAATGACTGGCAGAATCCGAGACCAGGGAGAAGAGTCGGTGGAAGAAGATTGGAAGAAATTTAAAGACTATTTACAGAAATATTGCAAAATTAATGAATGTTAGAATGATGTTGGATTGAAGTTAAGTGGTTTCTAGCTGTACTGGTATAAAAGAATATGGGAAATTGGTTTTTAATATGTAAAAAGTTTGTTATAATATATCAAGATTAAAGATTAGGATTAAAAAGGAGGGAAAGGATGGGTGGCATGCATATTTGTGGTATGACAAGGTTAAAGCTCATAAAATATTTAAAAACCATATTGTCAGGAAAGCATTGTTCAACGTCTGGATAAGATATAAAGACTTATTGGAGAATAAAACCCCAAGGTGGCTATCACCAATGGAGGCAAAGGCCCTGAAAAAGTCCAATATGGAGGCCAAGTGGCCAAAATATTGGGAGATCTTGGAACAAGAAGGAGATAAATTTAAATTGCAGAGTTTTGAAAAACTAAAAGATAGAGTGCGAGACTGGTTGCATTATTACCAAATAAGAGAGGTTTATAATTTGGATAGAAAAATTGGCTTCCAGGTGGAAAAATCAAAGTTGGAAACAGAACTGTTAGATTCCAAAACTAATACACTTTCAAGAATGTATAACTTGCTGCTAAAATGGAATACTCAGGATGAAATGGTAAAATCTGCTATGATTAAATGGGCACAGGATCTTGGACATAACATTATGTTTGCTGACTGGGAACGGTTATGGACCACAGGTATGAAGTTTACGGCATGTAATGCCTTAAGAGAGAATATTATGAAAATGATATACAGGTGGTACATGACCCCAGTCAAGCTGGCAAAAATCTATCATTTGCCCGATAATAAATGTTGGAAATGTAAAGAAACTGAAGGTACATTCTTTCACCTTTGGTGGACGTGCCCAAAGATTAAGGCTTTCTGGGAAAGGATATATAATGAGTTGAAAAAGGTATTTAAGTATACCTTCTTAAAGAAACCAGAGGCCTTTCTCCTGGGCATTGTTGGCCAATTGGTGCCAAAGAAGGATAGAACTTTCTTTATGTATGCAACAGCAGCAGCAAGGATACTTATCGCAAAGTATTGGAAGACACAAGACTTACCCACTCTGGAAGAATGGCAGATGAAGGTAATCGATTATATGGAATTGGCGGAAATGACTGGCAGAATCCGTGACCAGGGAGAAGAGTCGGTGGAAGAAGATTGGAAGAAATTTAAAGACTATCTACAGAAATACTATAAAATTAATGAATGTTAAATTGAGGTCTGATTGAAAATAACTGGTATTGGCAAAAGCCTCGCGTTTAAGAGTATGGAATATTTGATTGATAAGGTTGTAAAAATATCTATATATAAATAGATTAAGTTTCTTGAGTTAAGATAAAGGAAGGAGGGTAAGGATTTGCTGAAAGGAGTTTCTAAAAGGAAATACAAGTGGGGAGGTGCGGGGAAGTCAAAGAACCAAGGAAAGATTAGAAGGTTAAATGAAATTATAAATTTTTAAATTTTTCTGTCTTATTGTTATTTTTTGTTTTCCTTTTGTCACTGTTACTGTTGTTTTTTGTCTTTGAAAATCTGTATTTTTGTATGTTTTGGAATTTTTGTAAAACCAATAAATATTATATTAAAAAAAAAAAATAAAAAGGAGGGAAAGGAATTGCTGGATTAACAAATTGAATTGGAATACAAAGGAGGGAGGTATGAGGAGGTCTGGGAAACAAGTAAACGTAAAAGAAGTGATGAAAAGATGGAATTGTTTTTAACTGTTTTTTCTTTTTTCTTTTTTGTATTTTGTATTTTTTCTTTTTATTGTTAATTTTCTTATTAATGTGATTTTTCTTCTTTTGAAATTTTAATAAATATTATTTTTTTTAAAAAAAGAACTTCTTCCTTCCTGCTTTTCTTCCCCTCTCCCCTTCACCCATCCACCATCAATTAACTCTCTTCCATTCATTCTCTCTATTCCTCTATAGGGCTGAGAGCTACACTGATAGTCCTGGGCCACAAGTAGTGTGCATGGCCCTGGCACTGAAATTTGTGACAGGGCCTTCTCTGTGGTGGCACCTCAATCATGGAGCACTATCCTGCATAAGGTGTGCCTGGTGCCAACTTTGTTCAGCTTTTGGTGCCAGTTGAAAACCGATACCTTCCTCCAAATGAGTGATGTAGATGTGTATAAATTGTCTTTATAAATGTAGTAGAGTTAATTGATTTACACAGCTCAGCCATTGTGCCCCCTATTACATGGATTTTACCTCAGAATACCTGTACAAATGCACGACTGAAGTATCTGTGAACACCCCTTATATGATTTAGGTGTGAGACTGTTTTGTTTTTTAAGTGATTTATTTATATTTTATGCGTTCATATTATTTTTATTTTAACGCCACCTGCCTTGAGATCACCTGTGATGAAGAGGAGGATATGATTTTTTAAATAAATAAATGAATGCCAGTACCCCTCATAAAATATGTAGGGGTCGCACATGCATTTTAGACCACGTAGCAAACGCTACGGTTTTCAACAGCGGAGAAACCGCTGTAGGCCACCCCCCTTCAGAGATGATTAATTTCATTTTGCCATCTGAATACGACTGCCGAAAACTACTATAGACTTTGGGATCCTTCATTTCATGCACAGTAGGGGTTCCATCACATTGCAGTGAAACCTGACATGGTATTCCTTTTATTATGAAAATATATATCCTAATCGTTCTGGGGACCCAGCATCTGAGGAAACAGATTTACAAAATTAATGTTAGGCAATGTATGCAATAAGGCATTTTCTCTCCTATAAAGGACAGAGATCTCTGCTTTTATGCCTCCAGGGTCCACTTTAATAAACACTGAATACCAGCCAGGCATTTTCTTAAGTTTTGTTGTCAATAAATACCATCTGTGCACGAAGCACACACAATTCAGGAGAGATGCTGATCATAAGTAAGATCCAGTGCATTATTCTGCTGGCGCTCCAACTTGTTTGGCCTTCAAAGGGATAATGAATTTTTTATATACTGCTTGAAGAATTATATTAGCACTTTGTTTAGGCTTAATAGAAATACTAGATTCTCTCCATCTGAATGGAAAATCATTGTCTAAGGAAATGAACACAGTGAGGTCACGTCTTTCACTTCTTTGGAAGGGTTGCAAAAAAAATGAAGTGAAAATGAAGGGGAAAATGACTCGCTTTAATGTCTCCCAATTGTCCCATTTCTCCTTGATTTCTTTGTATCTGGGCAATCTTTTCATTTGAGATTGATGTATCAGAAAGAGAGGGGTGGGGGGTGGGGAACTCCTGGAAAGGCAAAGCTTGAATATTGATGTATCGTTCACATGTACTCTCCTGCTCTTACGCATTCACGGTCTTTCTACTACAATGATTCCCAAACTGTGGGGTGGAGCACAGAAGCTTGCCTCTCTAGAAGAACTGAGATGAGTCATGAAAAATTAAGCCACCATCCACCACTCTTAAATGGGACCTCCTAGGCAGCCTCCTGGGCTATAGCTCCCCATTAACTCTGGCCACTGGCCTTGCTGGCTGGGGCTCACGGGAATTATACTCCAATGACACCTGGAGGACAACCAATTTGAGGAAGGTTGAGCCGAACTCCTTGGGGATTTTTACCCTAGGGTAAAAAAGAAAAGAAAAGAAGGATAGGTAACTGTTATGTACTGAAGTTCTCACCCTGGGCCAGCAGGGGGATATTGTAGATAGTTATGCAAATGAAGGATCGAAAGTGACGTTCAGTGATTGGATAGTTTGTATGCAAATGAAGGATCGAAAGTGATGTTCAGTGATTGGATAGTTTTAGAAAGTTGCTGCAGTTACGTTGTTCTGGAGCTCTATATAAGCAGGCTGACTGAGCTCTTCAGTTCAGTTCTGTTCTGGCTTCTGAATAAACAAGAGCTGTTTGAAGAATCGCTGTGTCATCTGATATGTTCACCCACAACTTAACAGTAACTCTAGAGGCTTATAAAATGATGCATGGTGTAGAGAAAGCAGACAGAGTTTTTTCTCCATTTCCATTAGAACTCCAGCGCTTCCCTCCTGTTGGAGCAAATTCTCTTTGGGGATTCATTGTGGACGCTCAAACCATATTCCCAATTAGTCAGATGTCTATTTAGTAATGCATTCAGTGGCAGAGGAAGGGGGTGTGGGGTGTGGGGTGCGCCCCAGATGTCATCACTGGGTGTGTGTGACAAAATAAGTTTTTCAAAAATGGGCTCTGTGGTGTTTGCCCATTCATTTGAAAATGTCTGTACAGGGGAAGATAAAGAGTTAATAGGTAGACCAATAGAAAAGCCAGAGGCGGAGCCTACCTGTTTATAAAAGGGCTTATCCCGAGGTTGGTTTTGGTTAGTTGGTTGGTTGGTTGGGAAAAGGCAGTTGGGAAAGCAGTTGGCAGACAGTTAGAATTAGAGAGACAGTGCAGTTGGTTCTTGTGTGATGGGAGGTAGAAGAGTTAGAGACAGGATAAAAATAAGACTAAGACGGTAAAGAGTAACAACGTTTTGAATGCAGTTTAAGTTTATTTGTGTCTGCAATAAGCTACACTCTTCTTTGTTAACTTAAGAACCTGACTGAGACTAAGTGACTTACCAGGGAGGACCTGGTTGGTGGCAGTGGATTAGTGGTGTACGGGTCAATAGTCTGTGAGACGACCAGGGGCTCTGTACGAATGCCACAGGCTCACAAAACTTTTTAGGAGTGACGTGGTGGCTTAAGCGCCTGCAGGTTCCATACTGCCTGAAACGGCAGCGTGGGACTTACGTCTGCCTACTGCCTCTCCCTCAGCTGCCCTACAGCTGAGTGGGAGGCGGTGGAGAGGCTCCAAGCGTTGGAGAGGCTCACCCCGACCCCATGGGTGGATTGCCCCGACCCCATGGGCAGCTCGCCCTGCCCCCATGGATGTGGATCACCCTGCCCCTGGCTGCAGGACACGCCCCTGCACCAGGAACCCGAGCAGCTAGCTATGCCACTGAATGCATCACAGAACAGAGACCAAAAGAGTCTGCGAGAGTGTTATATTAACACACACTGTCTATAGGAAAAATACATCATCTTGGCTGTTTATCCTCTAGCCCAGGGGTCGGCAAAGTTTTTGTGGCTTGAGCCGGTTCACGGTCCCGCAGATGCCGCGGTGGGCTGGAGTGCGCACACATGCACAAACCCTATTTCTGGCTCTCCTTCCAGCGCGGAGGAGGTGTGCAAAGCTTCCCATTGGTCGCAGGAGCTTCCTGCAGCCAATGGGAAGCCGGCCAGCATCGCGGAAGGCAGTCCCCACTCTGCTCTGCGCCGGTTTAGCATGGCGCACGGGAGCCGACCGAGCAGGCGATGGGGGTCCATGGACCGGTTAAACGACCCCCGCTTGTGGCCCATGGGCCTTAGGTTGCCAACCCCTGCTCTAGCCAGCCACCTGCTGCCATTTCTCCATCTCTTCATCCTACCACAATTCTTAAAAACACTTAAAGGGGTTGTTGTTGTTGTTGTTATTGCTGTACATGCATCTTATTTGGAGTTGTTTTGTAGCTTTCTTAGACTTTACCAATTGGTGGGCTCTGCATTGCTCCCGGACGGGAGGAAGGAAGTCAAATGACACCGAGGGTTGGTTCAGAGAAAGAGTTCTTTATTTCTGCTCTCTGGAGCAGCAGAAAGGCACTTGCGTGGTCAGTCCACAGCAAGTCCAAAGAAATGAGAGATTTCATGCAGTATATATATCCTCCAGACACCCTCTCCCCCCTTCCCCAGGAATCCAGCCACGTCAGCTTGTACACGCAGGTTGACATCACAGATGTTCCTGCTCCGGTACTCTTAACCATAAAAGGGTTTTCCTTCCTGTACTTCTGACCATAAAAGGGTATTCCTGTTCCTATACTCTTATCTTGGAGCAAGAGGTCACCAACTCCAAGAACACACTCTGGCGCTGTTCCCGGACTAGGTCTGTGCGTCAGAGTGTGGTAAGATAAGACCCAGACATGTCATCCCTACTCCACTGGAACAGCCAAGGTCATCCATTGCCGTGACTGATAAAGGAGAGAGCTTTGTTTATACAGCTGTGTTCTTGTTATGCATTTGCTCAACAGCTCAAGTTAATGCATTTTAGAAATGCTCCTTTGGAGAAAGAAGAAAAGGGGGGTTTTGGGTCCCGTTTCAAAGTGCCTGCACAGAAACCCATTCCTTCAGTTTTTCACTCTAGCGGGCAGTGTTAGGGCCCTCCTAACCTGGTTCTTACCCATTTCAACGTCAGGCCACACTCTTGCGTACATGACACTGGCCTTACTGATAAGGGTTCTGCAGAAGTTCTACCTCACTCGCTTTCACTGCCATCACTAATGTCACCCATTCACTGGTTCTGTTCCTTTGCCCCTCCCCATTTCACACTGCTGCCTAGAGGGAGAAGGTGAACTGGGCATCGTTCCTTTTCTTTGCTTCTCTAGATGCCTTTAGAAGTTGATGGATAACATTTGTCTGAATGGCTCTACAGAAAACCTCAGTGTTCATAGGTTGCGCTCTATTTTTAATACCAGTTGTTGGGGGGAGGGGTGACATTGGGAGAAAGAAATTGCTTCCCAGAAATATCTGGTTGGTCGATGTCTAAAACAGGAGGCTGGAGTATGTGGACTGTTGGTCTGATCTAATGGTGCTCTTGTTTTTGTTTTTTAAAATTTTTATTTTATTTTCAATGCAAGATTACAACAAAAATTACAAACATTGAATCCAAAATAAAACAATACAAATAAGAAAAAAGCAAAACACAAGAGAAAAAAACAAACATGAACAAAAAACAAAAAACAAAAACACACATCTACAAATAAAACCATATCATCATTCTAATCATTATGTACATATACACATATTGACTTCCTTTCTTTGTTCTAAGACCTTCAAATTTTTACGCTTTCTAAATTGTTGTGTCTAATGTAGATTACCTCTATCTTTATACTTTTTGCACCATTTTTCTCTTTCTTTAACCCTGCAAAGCTTCATTCGTCTAATGGTGCTCTTGTTATGGTCTTAGCTTATATTGTAACTTTTTGGAGGTGATTGTGTATATATAATACAGCATGAAAACAGGAGTTGGAGTCTTGCCACATAAAGGCAACATAAAACCTCATGTTTGTTTCTGATTATGATTATTCTCCTAGGGGTAGATCGATGCTTGTGACACCCCCTTCCCCCCAACCATCCTGCTTTTCACTATATTAGACATCAGCTAGAAATTTATTGTATTATAATGCTTTTCAACATCTGCAGTTCAGCTCATTACTCCAAAAGCATGAATACATTCAGTGTAATAAGGAGCCTAAATCAGATACTTATCTTTTTTATTTTCATTGTGCAACTATTCTTATCACTAGGCACCCCAGATGTCTTCACGCATGGGGCTCCGAGCACATTCAGAGTTTACACACTGAAGAAATGTTTCTATCCCAGACTGCCTTTGTTGACACCTCAATGTCTTCCATAAGCACTGCACCAGGAAGATTTGGAGCATCACATGACAGGACAGTCTCAGAAAAAGATGTGTTCCCCCAAGTTTACATGTTCCTATGATAGGGTTGCCATACATCCAGAATTTCCCAGACATATCCGGAATACTGCAGTCGGCAGCAGTGTCCGGGCAGGAATCATCAAAATATCTGGGCAAATCTGGTTGTAAGGCAAGCCATGCCAGCAGTCCTCTTCCATCCCTAGTAGTATTTAATGGATTGTGGACAGACTCTGCCCACAATGTGGGGTCCATGGGCTGCTTACCTGGTCAGGCTTGTAAAATACTTGTTGGTTGACAATTCTTAATTGAGCATCCTTTAGAGGTTACAATGTGTTCTTAGCCTGTGACTAAGGCAGATATGCCAGCTTCAAGCATCTCCCTTTTCTACCTCCCACGTTGAAATCTGATCTCTTCTTTCGCAGAGCGATTGAGCTGTCACACAAAGTGCTTTGTTCTGATATGCAACACAGCCTGCTTGGAAAGTTGATCTTCACAGCAGATAGCAGTGCTTGGGCAAACTGAGTGACAGTGAAACCAAGCGGGCCAATGGCAAAACCAGATTTCAAATAATGGGAGCCTTAAAATCAGCATATAATCCTGTCGTGCCATGTTGTGTGCACACCTGATTATAAGACAGCTCCAGGTTTGAAGATGTATGCTCATTTATTTCATTATACCATAAATATGCCATAAATAGGTTATACCATAATATTTATTTCCTAAGGACAAAGTCAAATCTCTTTCCTGAAATGTGCAGTGTCATAAACAAAGGGGATATCCATAAGGCATTGCTGCAATAAGCTACATGCACACCCCTATCAATACAACTATGGTTTTTCCCAGTAGTGATGTATGGAAGTGAGAGCTGGACCATAAAGAAGGCTGATCGCCGAAGAATTGATGCTTTTGAATTATGGTGCTGGAGAGTCCCATGGACTGCAAGAAGATCAAACCTATCCATTCTGAGTGCTCAGTGGAAGGACAGATCCTGAAGCTGAGGCTCCAATACTTTGGCCACCTCATGAGAAGAGAAGACTCCCTGGAAAAGACCCTGATGTTGGGAAAGATGGAGGGCACAAGGAGAAGGGGACGACAGAGGACGAGGTGGTTGGACAGTGTTCTCGAAGCTACCAGCAAGAGTTAGACCAAACTGCGGGAGGCAGTGGAAGACAGGAGTGCCTGGCATGCTCTGGTCCATGGGGTCACGAAGAGTCGGACATGACTAAACGCCTAAACAACAACAGCAATACAACACACCTAGCCATGGTAGATAATGCGGAGTTCTCTGATGCTTCACATAGTCATCATTGTGGTTATTAATATTGTGCATTTAGAAGCAATAGGATGAATAAAAACTGACTCCTCTTGGAATAAAAATTGTCCAGACCAAAAAATCTGTTTTCAAAGCTTTACTAACAGAACTTTCTTCAAAACAATTGTCAGAGAACTGGACTCTTCAACAGGCAGAGACAAGACAAATAGTGGAAGGAGGGGCAGAATTGCTAAGAGAGGGGGAAGAAGCAGCTAGCCACAGGAATTTGACCTTTGTACACCAAGAGACACAGAGAGCAGAAATGAAGCTGCAAGATTCAGATAGTGACGCAGACACAGAAATAGTGGGAGTGCAATCTCCCCGCTCTCGCAGGCTTACAAGATTAAATGAGAAGCGTGAAACTAACAGGAAGAAAAGGTGGCATTTCTCCTGTTGGGGTAGAAGGGGGCGGAGTTCACTCCCAGCAACTGAGGAATGGGAGGAAGACTGAAATTAGCAGAGCTCCAACTGGGGCTTTTTGTTGAACCAATAAAACTTAATTAATTAACTGCCGGAGTCGTCTCGTATGTGTGGGAGAGACCCAAGCCTTACAATAATAATGATACATCCAAATAGTTGCACAATATTGTATGCTTGTCCAAGCA